GCCATACATTAACCAAAAGGCCGAAACAGCGGACAGCAAAAGTCGACCAACCCAAAATCGAATAGTTTGGTACGTCACTTCCCTTCTTGTTAGATACTGTGCACGTTTAACACTTTTACAGGATGAGCCGATCAAGCTCTCTGCCATATCAACAAATCTGTTGCGGGAGCTCTTGCTCTTTGCTGGCAGTGCATGAGTTTAGTGCGGTCTAAAAACGGTGACGGCGTTAATTTTGTCCCACAGATGCCATGAAAATATGAAGGAATGTATTAGCGGCTGGACTTCCCATGGAGGCTAAGGATGCTTTTTAACTGCCCCCCACCACCAGTATAACTTGTTAACGACTCCTGCCGTACTTTCTCACAAATGGGAATATTTTTCACAACGTAACGCAAAGACAATCCTGAAATGATCCCGTGGTGACTAGGTTTGGAGGTCAATGTGCGTGCCGACGGTAGGGTTTTCTTAACCGCCACGGTCCCATACTATTGCCCTGTAATTGTCGGGATACCCACGGCTACCTTCACGCTTACGCGCTGCTTTTAGTATTCCATTGCGTCGCTGGAATTATATCCTTAAAGTTTTGTTCTGCACGCATGTCTGCTTGCATTCATCATATCCCTTTTTTGTGTGAGGGTAGTTCATAAGGAAGACCACAACACTAAACAGATGACCTAGTTGCCTTTCAGAAGAAGAAGATACGATTACTGGAACAATAATTTTATTTTCCTGACATTTCGGATTCTGTCGAGGCTCTTTAGTTATAGGTAACCGTAGTTGCCTCTATTTGGGTTACAGAGCCCACCAGCTCGAAAGGGGGATTTTCTGGGAGCAAAGGTTACACGACTTCTCGTTGCTCCTTTCACCCAGCCAATTCGTCTCACGGTGGTTGAATTGTAGTCGCAGTGGCCAAACTCCGGGCGCATTTTGCAACGCTGAACCTTTCGCGACCACTTTCACGTGCACAGTAGCAGCCAACTCCGACCGTCCTAAGCGCCTAATTATATTCAAGGCTAACTCAAAAATGACCTCGTTGGAGCTGCGGTGACGACTCCTACAGTCTCGCCCTTCTGATGTGCCCTCGTCCGACTGCTAACTGCCCCCAGCCTCTTCTCCAATAATTCTGTACAGCATACACTATCCTCCCGACTGGCGTGTTCCACTTCGTCTCTTCTCATGCGGAACCGGCCCAGAAAGTCCTAGCGACTAGGGTCTCCCTAATAACTTAAGCTGCCACGATACTGGTGACTCCGACGTGATATGAGCAGGCAGCCTTTTGATCTGGAGTTACTGCTTGCCTAAGCAGAATCACATGATTTCGTAATGTCAGCCAAATTTTGCAAACATTAGGCCGACTACGCTAGGACAAATTTTCTACAGCGCTTCACTGGGTCCCAAGCTCTTGCTTCATTCATTTCGGGAACTTTCGGTCGAACTATGCTGGTTTGTTTGCTAAGAGAAGCCAACAGACTGATGTGCATATATGATTATGGCCTGGGAACCAGCGTTTAAATTTACGAACTACAATATCCTGCCTTTCCCAAGGGACATTTTGTTTTCAGTAATGTTGCTCTCTCTATGATACTGGCCACTGTGCGGCTACTGGCAGGACTCGAGAGTGAACTTCAAGACAAAATGGAATGAGTTTGCCGCGTACCGCGGTCGGGCGAACGTCCTTCTGTCATTTTTTGTGTACCGATCGCAGCCAACAGGACAACAAGCCCGTGGTTCAGTAGTTTGGGCATCGGGCTTCTAACCAACAGGTCGCGGGTTCGAGCTTCAGGTTGTGCATTACCCGGGGTTGGGTATGACTAGCTGGTGACGACTAATAAACCAGAAATGATCATTCCAGTCTTCAGAGCCTTTGTCGGTTATGCATTTCTGCATGTGTATAGGCGAAAGGAGACCGGGATGACCATCCCTGGCTTATCAGCCGTCATCGGCCAGCCGTACCAAAATACAGACTTCGCATTAACTAGCCTCCAACCTGCGCTATTTGGTCATAGAGCTCTAGTAAGTCTAACGCTCTACCATAGAGCCACAATCCTGCTGGCGCGCCACTAGTGATCGGGACTCTTGACTGTGTTGAAGTGGGTTCACCGATGAGATTATGGGACCCGTTCGTCCTAGTTTGCCTTGAGGCTCACAGACAGTTTCAAGGTGAACAGAAGGAATATCGACGACGGACGACGTCTGATAACTCCGAAATGGCCAAATCAGTATCGCTCTTCCTTGTCAGAATTATTTTCCCTGTAGAGATGTACATATGCGGTGTGGCAAGTTCATGAACATAAAAAGACATTTGGTCCCTAAATTTTAAAAGTACTCCAAGTCTAGAAGAAGATGTAATCACTGGAACAATATTTTTTTCTGACGTTTCGGATTCTGTCGAGAATCCTTAATAGTAGGTAACCGTAGGACAGTGTGAGACCTGCGCAGATTGGGATGATAAATACATAGATTGCACGACATTTATAGTTCGTAGCTGTCACCAGCTCCTGTCTCAGTACGCAGTATGGGAAAGTTGCCTGAGCAAGGGAATCAATCACGTGGGAAGGGTCAGGCCCAGCAACAACTCTGACGGCAGCGAGCATAATTGTCGTGCAATCATCAGGCCTGCACACGGACATAGAAACCGCGGCAACTAATGAGTCGAAAGCGAAGTGTCAAGCCATCACCGCATTAATTAGGACCCCAAGCGGTGGTTACAGGAGCTGATAATTATAGTACGCATGCGGATGACCGCTACGAACT